ACTTGGCGATTTTTTGGCGAAAATTTGGCAACCAACTCTCCTACAGCAACCCTCTATTTTTTTTTCCCCGCCGCCATTTTGTCTTCACGAAGTAAAGACATGTTTCTTTTCTTTTTATCTACTGAACACTTCTTCCAACAATCTAGTAGCCGAATTACACTTATACTAGAAATTTTATCAAACAAAACTGCTTAATCATGACAAATATTCACTGCAAAATTGGGGAAAGTGCACAATACCATACTCCTTACGCGTTTTTCAAAATAACACATACACATAAACCATGTACACGCCGACCTTATTTTTACTTAAAAAAACATTCCAGAATTGCACAAAAATGGCATTGCGCACACTCTTCACTATATCCATGTACACTGCTTTTTTCTCATAAATTAGAAAAATTTCACGAAAATACATGACAATTTTCTCAATCTTTAAACCCGGAAAAAGAACATATATGAAATTACCTGATCGCGAAAAAGTATTTACCCTTTCCAAATATGAACATTTCCACATATAAAATAAATAAAATATCCAAAAACTTTTACCTCTAAATCATCTATTATATTATAAACGTCACCAACGAATTCATACCGCAACCATTACAAATACTTAGTGTCAGATATTTAAATTATTTCCATGCACGTTTACTTCAACTAAAACGTATACCAAATTCCTACAAACATAAAATTCACAAAATAACTATCATTTCATTAAAATATAATTAAATTCAAAAACACTACTTAAAATATAAATGAGCACATACATTAAATTAATAATAATTACCTTACAATCCTAATTACTTTAAACTAAATCATTGCTAATAACAATTTTCCCAATAATACCAAATTCCTTTCCACCTTACATTTAGAACAATGCATAAAAATAACATCCTCAAATAATTAAGAATACTAACTTACCTAATCTTCTTCAGAATCTTGATTACGTGGCGGATACACTTTTCTAATTCATTCAATAAAATTATTGAAAGATTTTTTCTTCGAATTTTTCCTCCATACTTCCTCCGCTAAATAAAAAGCAAACTTCTCTTTATCACAATGCCTAAATACCCATTTCGAATTCATTTTAGTTAGGGCCATGGGATCCAAAAATTAACCAACACTGTTTCACACAACACAGAATAAAGCTAAATACAAAATTTCCAGATTTTTTCCCGATTTCCCCCCTTTTCCGATTAAAGAACCGTAATTCGTCCATTAATATCACACGACATATCCCATGATCTCTCATTTCCTTCACGCAAAATAATGCGTAATCGGAACTGAGTACTGCTCACATTATTACCAAAGTCCCAGGTAGTAACCTTTATCGCCTCCAAAATGTCGCCAAACTACCAGTTACCATATTGTAAAGATCAACCCAAACAACAGTAGAAACGGTCTGTAGGCTTTGTGAATAAGCCGGACACACTGTGCCGCAAAGGGTTAAAACCATGAATGAAAAAATTAAAAAAAATTTTTTTAGTCAGAATTTAAATTAGTATTTTAAATAATAATTTCAACTTCTTGTTTAAAAATCAGCTAAGAAAAATCTTAAATCGCAAAAAAAAAAAAAAAAAAAAAAAAAAAAAAAAAAAGTAAATGCTAAATATGGAATCAGTCGGTTAATCTGCGTTCAATGACATAGTTATTGTCATTGAATGCAGATTAACCGACTGATCAAGGGGATAAACCAATCTACCATCAATTAACAACAACTTAATTGAGAGAGTGTTTCATCTTACTTCCAAGTAAGCATCAAATTATTTGCTAGATTCAAACCATAAGTCATAATTAATACTCAATCCAAATAAAGACATTAGTCCATTTAAGCCAAGAATCATGTTAAACAAAATAGCAAATAATTTAAAAATTAAAGTTTCTATTAAGAACACAATTAAACTGAACGAGATGCTCACTTTAGAAGACATATTCCCTACACTCTCATTTCAATTTCAAAAACTGAAGTAAACATTAGAACATATAAAGTTAATTCAAAATCATAGGAAGATAAAAAAATGATACAACCTCGAAATTAAACGTGGATACGAGCCAGTTTCCCCTAAAACGACTTCCACGGGGCAGCCCTCCCTCTCCGTGTAGTGCCTAAGGGCGGAGCCCGTAATAAGAAAAAAAAAAAAAAAATCTAATAAAACTGTTTTTTTTTGTTTACATTTGATACTTACTGGAAAATGAATTAGGTAAGTTAGTCAGCGCATCAACTTCAGTGTCTTTTTTCCCATTGAAACCAAAAGTTAACTTTCAATTTTGTACACAGGAAAAACCTGTCTTCCTGCCTGCTGGCCGAAATGCTTGTTTTTGCTTTCTTTTTACAGCTTTAACTGTATTTGTTTTATGTTTTTCTGCCTTTTAAAATTTTTAATGAAGACGTTTTGTCTTTGTTTTAATATATTTTTGTCTTCCCGCGAATTGCGAAGTGAATTAATTGAATGCGAAATATATCTATAACGAAATTCGACGAAATAAGTTTAAATGAACTGTAATGATAAATGTGTATAATTTAATAGGCCGTTTGAGGAAGTGGTGTGGTGTCCACATCAGATATTCTATTTTAGTTCCAGGTGTAGTAATTTTCTGAATCCGAAGGGTTTAACTTTAGCAAAATTTCTGCTATTGCAATTTACAAAATTTAATTATGTATTTATTCTAACAAATAAACTTGTTGTGCTAATTATAGATTACCTATGTATATTTTTTATTCAAAATTGATTTCTTTTAAGCACACAGTGGGGTATTTAAGCAAGGCCAACTAGATATTGGCCTTGATTTAACCCTATTCTTTTAAGTCTATTAATCCGTGGTATCATATTTTCGCTTGAAAGTTTTCATATAATAAAGATATAATTACTTTGATTTGGTTTATCTGATTGTGGCAAAGCACTCAAGGGCTATCCGCCTGTCCTTCTCAAAGGACTTCCTAAGGAAACTGGCCCGTATAGACGATACACATGGGGAAAAAACCACGAAAACGCCTATGCAGCCAGCCCGTTCGTCGCCTAATTGCATTTATTTTCACTATATGTTGATGAAAATTTACATGAAGTGAAAGTTATAACATAGATTTAAATTATGTAATGGATATAAAACTCAGCTGATTGAATTTTATTTTGAATGAATATGAATAATGAATTTTAATGAAATGTTGGAAATTCATTATGTTACTCTCAGATTCTCAATGAAAAGTTAAGTTGTTTACCACTTGAATCTAATTGAACAAAAACTTGGATTTTCCGGCATAATATATGAATAAAACTGAATCAAAAATGATATGAATAAAATGGTAATAAACATACTTTGTGCTATTTATTGTATCATTGTTTGTTTCTATTGCAACGTCCAAAATCTTCTTGTTGAGTAATAGAGCGCTAACTATAGCAACCCGAAAACCACGTGTGTGATAAATGTAGCAACCCGGCATATCAATTGGTGCTTAATTTATTCCAATGTAGGAGGGAGAGTTCTCGGTAGCGTAGATGAAATTTACAGTGTATGAACTGTTTTTACTTTTGTATTGATTTTGGACTTACGTATATGTTTCTTTGCTTATTGTATTATGATGATTTCAGTTTTCGAACGTGTGTTCCTGAATCGTGCAACTTAAGTATAGTTTCTGTAGTTTCCCTTTCAGTACAGCTTTAGTATTAGTCCTTTTTGGCGACATTTTGTCGCGATAAATGAAAGATTATGATAACTTTCTTATTTATGGTAACCCTAAATACTGAGCTGCAAAATATGCCGCCATTTCTGTCCACGTAACTTTAACGAATTTTGTCAAAGCTTTAATGGCAGGAGGGATAAGTTGCATATTTTTCTTAGTACTTTCATGTTAGTAAAGCACAACATTTAAAATATTTTTAAGAGAGCCAAAATTTGATAGTTAAAACTGAATGTGAATATTACATCACATGAAAGACTCACGTGATGTGATATTAAAAGCATAAATTTTAATATTACATCGCATGAGTCTTGACATTTTTTCATATGTCAACTCTGCATATTATAAATTCCAACCCCCCAAGAAAAAAAGAACACATTTTTAGTAGCATGAGGTAAACTCTTGGTGTTTCCTTTGCTAAGGAACCACATGCAAATTTAGACTTTTAGATGTTTCTTAAAATGGGCAATGATCAAAATTACCATGGTCTAAAAATACATTTTAGCCTCATTTCTTAAATTAGAACTATAGGGATGTGTAATTGCATGAAATCATAGACCAAAATTAGGTTTCATTATTGCTTTTATAACATTTTTATAATTCGTCCGACTATAAAAAATATGTTGCTTAGGTTATGGAATATATTGCTTATAATTTACAGTTCTCAAATTTTATAAATCTCACAGTCTAATATCTATATATGAATAACATTCACTGAGTATTATTACTTTTATCAATAGTATGTTGACATAACATTCGACTTTTAATTTTAACCACAAAAACTCCCATATAGTCACACAATCCACAAAAACTCCCATATAGCCAGCCTGAACTACCACTGTTCAGTGGCTTATCACTCCTCCTCTAGTGGATTCCAATGACTGTTCAAATCTTTCACAGAAATCATCAGTTATGATGATTGTTGTTGTGTATGATTACCATTGGTACAAAATTTACTCATTATGATAATTTAATTTTAACATTTAAATTATAATCATAAATTACCTGTAATAAATTGAGTGATTAAAAAATACACACTTCTTAATATTTTTACCATTTACAAAATTTAATCATAAAGTATTTCTAACACTGGTACAAAATTTACTCGTTATAATTTAATTTGATTTCCTTCACTTTGAAATATTTTTTTATTTTCTTTTAATAACAGAATCTAAGAAACTAAAGTAACATATACTAGTTTGAAATGCATTTATTAACCTTTTGTAAATTTCATTATTCATAACATAAAAATTAACCTTTTGTAAATTTAAAATATTAGCTAAATACTAATATAATATAATATAAATATTAACTAATTACTTAAAAATTAATATTTAATACATTAATATTACATTTTGTAATTTAAAATATTTAAAATATTAATTAATCACTGCCATAAATACATTTTCGGTAGTGTTTCAGGAATTTATCGTAGCAGTAGTAGAAATGTTGAAAATTAGAGAAAGACTGTTTATTCTAATTAAGAGCTTATTTTTTAAGATTGTTATTTAGTCTAGATCGGGTTTTGTTGACAGTCCGCCATTTTTTTCCGATTTTCAAAGCCGAGTCTACCTTGGCGACCGAAGTTTGTCGCTAAATCAAAAAATCGCCAAAAGGACCAATACTAAAGCTGTTCCTTACTTTCTTTATAGGAACCAAAAGTAATTGATTAATATAATTAACATATTTTCTAATTTTCTTTACTCATCTTGCTCTATTAGTTAACCGAAACAAACATTTTTAATAATGGATTACAGCTTTATTATCCTCTTTGAAGATTTATTTGCCGTCGTTTCTTGGATTTCGAAACCAAAACAATTAGACATGGCTGATTTCTGTTTACATAGACCGGCTAATGGGCCTGTCATCTTTAACAATTATGATACCAAACTGAAACTTTTCAATATGCGGATGGTTTTTCTGCTCATAAATATACGTCAGCATCAACAGTTTTCTAAAGTAATTTGGCGGACTGGTGTTGGATAAATCTAAAAGAATGCAGCACAGGTAAGTTTTTTTTTTTTTTTTTATTACTACCTCATTTATTACTGTGTTTTTAACACTTGAGTTGCATTTTTATGACACAGTTAGTAAATTTCAGAAATATAAACATTTTATATTATTATTTTAATAGGCTGTAATTCAAAATTAAATTAATCTTTCAATTAATTTAGATAATAAAAGTAAAAGTGTAAGATTTGTTTGTTAAAATATGTAATATCAGCTTTTTTACTGAAAGTGAATTAATATAAAATGTAACACAAGCAGTGGGAGTAATGTATATAAAATTATGCTTCCTGTTATATTATTATTAATATATACTTTTTTTCTTAAGTTATTGCAATTTTGGAATTTTTACAAAAGTATAGTTTAGCAGTTAGTATAGTGAAATGATAAAAAACTTAGTGAAGATTTTAAAACTTGTTTTGTTTTAAATTATACTTTGATTTTAAACTTCACTTCTGAAATCTTTTGGAAACTAGATTATAATGTCATTTTCAGCATAAAATGAAAATTCAAATATAACTCAGTAGATGACTTGGGCCCACCAGTGGCTGAGCGGTAAAGATGCTGAACACTGGTAGTTCGGTTCGAGCCCGTGAACGGGCTGGCTGCATGGGCCATGAAGGCATCCCTCCCTTTAGGCACATAGCCCTCGTGTGCTTTGCCATAACTGAATAATCCGAATCCCAGTAGATGACTTTATTAAATTAAGGGTGGATACCGAAACTCAGATTCTTAATAAAAACATGATTTTAAATTACTTTTGGACAAACATTAATGTTCCACAAAACTATTTCAAACTTTCTAATGTCATGCTCCTATTCTTGCTTGCATTTTGAAGCTTATGTATAGCTGATGCTGGTTTTTGCCATGTTAATTCCATCTTAAAATGAATACGTTAGATTTAGAATTTTGTAGAGATTTAACACCGAAAGTCATAAATCTTAACTAAAAATTGTTAATAATGCCAAAAATCACCAAGCATATCCATCACATTTGATTAAATCTGTTAACTTTACATAAGTTTTATTATATTGCATCTCATTCGATATAAGTGCATTGTATATTGTAAAACAACCATTATAAAGAACACACTTGCGTATATTTAAAAACCTTATCGTAAGTAGGTAATAGAAAATTAGAAGTAGTTGATTATCAAAAGTGTTTGGGGATTCCTTGTTTAACTGATTAGGAAAAAGAAATGATTATTAATGTAAAATATGCTTCAATTTAACATTAAACTGTTAAATACCGTATATTCCGACATATAACATGCACTTTACTACAAAAAATAAAGTCGAAACTTATAAGTGCGAATTATACGCAAGATGTAAAAATGATACATTAAAAATAAGGGGAAAAAAAGCTGCCGTACAAAAATTTGGTTTTTACCCTGTAGCTAGATTTTGTTTATTTAAAAAAAAAGGATATACTTTATGAATTTAAAAATTCTCATTATCGGATAACATGAAAATTTATCTTGTTCGTCTTCCATTATATCTTCAGGTACATACTTGAATTCTGTTTTGTCTTCATCGTAATTATTACTCTGATCCATAGATAAATAATCATTATCCGTTCCATCTTTCACCAACAACAAACAGTCTTGCTGTAGCAGGATTTTTCCTCATTTCCATCACAAACTGGGCAATTTTTTTCACAGACTGAGTGACTTTACAATTTAAAAGCAGCACTGTGTTATTTTGTTTGGCAGGAAATATATTGAATACTAAAAGGAATACTAGATCAATTGTATTTCAACTAAAGCAAATGCAATTTACTAAAGTCTTAAAAAAATATCACAAATTAGATGCATCAATATTTTTTTATCTTATATTTTGCTGAATGGCTACAGACTTGAAAGTAAAATAACACAAAATCAGGTTTTGTGACTAATAGCTCTTTTGGATAAAAAAATAAGGGTAAAAAATGTTCATTCCTCAGAAGATGAATCAACTGTATAACCCAAACTCATAAGATTCACTATTTTCTCTTTCCCCGAATAGTGAAACTTTTGAAATGTCCATCATTTAATCTGATTAACAACCTTGAGCTTCAGTCAAAGAATTTGATTGGAATCAAAGAATCCACTTGGCTTCTTTAGGTTAATGATCACGTACATGATATACGTAGAATGCCATTTGGTAGATAAGATTTGCTTGTTTTACCCTTTTTTCCTAGATTGCCTGTTTTGCATAGTCTTTGTTTGGAGCATTGAAAAATGTGGGATAAAGTATAAAAAAAAAAAAAAAAAAAGCTATCATGAAGGTGTTGGAAGCTATCATAACGGTATAACGGAAGCTATCATAAAGGTATATTTGTAAAGGTGTTTAAGCATGGAATGAGAATCCTAACATCCTAAATAAAACTTGAAGAAATTCTGGAAAAAATGTGAAAAATACAAAAAGTTTCAAAGATATCTATATAGTTGGTTGCATATGATTTTTTTATCTTTAGTAGTTTGCAATAGCAGCACAAAATAACAAAGTGTATACAAAACTGGACAAAAGATTCCTTTGTACAGTGGAATAAGTTTAATTCGTCCCAGCATTGAGCTCGTATAGTGAATTTCTCATATCTAGAAACAAACTTCCCCCTTTGAAAAGAATGGAAATCCAAAAATATCAATGTAAAAATAAATTTTTCTAATAAATAACACTGGTAAATAATATAACCTGTAGTTTACCTTTATGAATAGCTTCCAACACTAACCTTAACTGCCTTCTCTTTAATCCACACCAACAACAGCTTCTCAAGGAGTCTAGGAGTTTTGACCGTGCTTGGAAGTTTGGAAGTAATGGTAACTTTTTTGCCTACATCAAGTTTCTTAAGTTTCTTCCATCTTCTTCAAAATAGTGCAGATCGTCGATGTTGAAAGGCCATTAAATCTTTGCCAATTTCATAACTCTTGCACTACGCTTGTTTATCTATGATTTCTTTAATTTCAACGGCCATGGCTTCCTTATTTTTCTTTGCAGCACTCTTTGAGGCAACGATCTTCTTAGGAGGCATCATGAAAGGATTATTTTCACGTTAAACATAATAAACAATTCATTCACAAGCGCATAAACTCGTAGATCAGAGAATACCGAGTTATCAGATAAGGGGATTATCCGAGTCCAGCTTGATCAGAAAATAGCACCACGAATACCAACAGCCTGGCTGATTGCTCGTTACTCGAGTCGATGCTCATATTTAGAGACGCATTTTTTGCTCATACTTTCCTCGTATCTCGAATTTCTCGTATATAGAGGTGCTTAAGGTTCCACTATATATTCAGAGGCTCATTACAAACCAGGTTCATTAAAGTACAGTTTGACTTTATATATAAATATATATCATTAAAAAAACTAATTATTTCTAGGCTTTTGTTTTTCTTTTTTTTTTCCCTTTTCTTTTCTTGTTTTTTAACTTTTAAAGCATTAAAAATAAATTGGTATAGTGTGATGATTTTACATGTTTTTTATTCTATTTCATAATTCTGTTAATATTTTTTTTCAGTGAAATACAAAGGAACCATGCCAAACTGGGCACTGTCCTGAAGCACATTTATGCTTCAGAAGTTGTTCTAGAACATACCCATGTACTGAAAAAGAACTTGTTGATGTCATTTTTGGGTCAGTTTAAGTCTTTCTGCTCAAGGAAAAGTCCCGAATTCTGCACTTTGTTTCAAGATTACTACTTAACTGGCAGTTATTTTGAAGGATTACGGGTCAAGGAAGCTACTGAATTTGATGTCAATGTTGTATTTTCCTTCCCTTTGCCTGATTCTGGATACTCAGTAAGTTTATTTTTCATCTGATTATTAATTATCTAGAAATTGTGACTGAAAATTAGTAATAGCTTTTGGAAAATTAGTAATAATTAGCAATAGTTTGGTGCAGATTTTGAATAAAACTCTTACCAGTTTCGAAAGTGATCAGACACAATTCCTTCTTCTTCAGGAGCAAAATTAATATCAGTGTAATTACAAACTACTCTTTATTAAATTTAAGGGTGCTTTCTGATTATCTGCACTTCCATAAAAAGTCGTCAACTCATTCGTAACTCTGTGAATTGGTAAAAAGTGTCTGTTTGGCTATTTTTATATCTGACGGGTAGTGATAAGTTTATACATAATGATAAAAAGTAGCATTTTGTGAGATAAAAGGTGGGTTATTTGTTGTTATGGGGTGCACATACTCCAAAATATACCAACTGCATGCAGTTCTATTGAAAATTTAAAGCGGGGATGCGGATAATCAGAAAATACCAATTTAACTAAACCATGAACAGTTTACACTTTTACTACCATATTTAGAACGATTATTTTAAATGACAATTAGTGACAAGTTTACAAAATGTCAATGTAATATGAATTAGAAACAGGAATAGAAATATTATGTGAAAAGGGAGAGCTCTTCTCCATGCTCAGTAATGCTTACTAAAGCCCAGAAATATGCCTCATATATTCTTGCTAGTATGTTATTCCTTTAAGAGAGGCCCACCAGTGGCCAAGCGGTAACGTCGCTGAACACTGGTAGTTCGGTCCAAGGTTCGAATCCCGCGAACAGGCTGGCTGCATGGGTGTATTTGTGGTTTTTCGCATGTTCAGTTCTCCCTTTGCAGTGAAGCAAAAATACAAAAAAAAAAAAAAAAAAAAAAAAAACTCAAAATATCTTAATTAAAAATTGAAAAATATAAAACATGAAATACTGTTAAAACAATTAAAAAAATATGCAATTAAAATTAGAGTTTCTACACAAAAACAAACAATTTGGCCAGCGGGCAAGAAATCAGATTTTTTGGTGCTCATAACTGAAAGTTTACTTTTGGTCCCACTCTGCAAAAAGACACTAAAGGTGCAGAAATTGACATAATAATATAATTCACTATTCTGCTAAGTTTCAAATGTAAACAAATATGGCTGCTATGGTAAAAAAATTAGGCTTAAGCTGCTATTAAACAACTTTTAAATTGTTGATAATTCTACAATTATTGCATGCAATTAAACTAAAAGCATAAAAACTTAACCAAAAGATAAGAACAACATAATACAATACAGTCAAAAGTCGTTAATCCAGACTCGTCGGGACTTCGGCGATTCCGGATTATAGATCATCAGTTTAAATCTGGTAAGATGGCATGCAGAAATTATAAAATTAAAAAGATGAAACCGTAATTTATGAAATAAAAAACAATTATGTTCTAGAAGGTATCAAAATTTGCAAAAAAAAAAAAAAAAAAAAAAAAAAAAAAAAAAAGCTTAATATTTATTTGTTTACTTTATTAAACATTTCTTTCAATGTAAGTTGTTTAAGTTGCTTCGTTTTTTATGCGATAATACATTCTCTTTAATTCTATAAACAGACATAATTTCTTGTTCAGTTACAAAGTTCCGCTGTTCAAGTCCTAAAATTGCTGTGTGGAGAATATCGATTAATTTGTCAATCGAAATTTTTTCATTTTCAATAACCTCTGTCACTTTTTTCGCTATTGGAAGCGAATTATAATGACGAGGAATTTCATTTAAATCATATCAAAGACGGAGTACATCGAGATGAAATACTACATTTAGTAAGGAATTATAAGCCAAATAAAATAAAAACATCTGCCCTGAAGATAAGGATAGTGCTGACAGATCAACTTCCAATTCATTGCGCGCTGCGGCGTTAAAGATAAACAAAGTTTAGATAAACAAAGGATATGCCTTTATCCATTTTTTGCAGCAATTCCACTTTTTGTTTAATGGATTTCGAAACATACTTTCGCTTTGTAGATCCTTTACATATTAGTAAATATATATCAGAAATTCTATTTGACATAATCGAAAGTTCAAGCTTACTTTTATAAAATTGCTCTAACAGTCTGCAAAAAATAATAAGCCGGATCCAATTCGAAGATTAAGAAACAACGCAATCTGCAACATTAACTGAATTAGATAATTTTAGCTTAGCTTATACCGTCCGTTATACATTAAGCGCGCATTCGTAAGCGTATTTTGCGCACACGCATATTCACAGCCGTAAAGGTTTTACGCCCATGCGTCAATGCGGCGCATGTGCAGAAAGTTTGTAGCTTTGAGGTCCGGATTATGGGTGTCCGAATTAACGACTTTTGACTGTAATTTTTATAGCAAAAACACAGTTTACCAGCATATAAGAATTAAAAAAAAAAAAAAAAAAAAACAGCTTACGAAGGCAAGCCAGAGTTTGAAAAATAAATAACTAATAAAAAGTGGTAGATTGCCTACTATATGACTACCCAGATAATTGTAGTGAGTATAACCCTACAAATCATAACCCATTTTACTGTGATTGCCCATCTGGCTTAAAAACCTATACAATTTTGTTTTGCATGAAAAATGCTACCTTAAGAAAAGCACCATCAGGGAAGATTACCCCTTCTGCTGTCTTCAGATATTTCTGTGCCGAGAGCTATGGTTGAATGTCAAGGTAATTGATTATGATAGTGACCTCATTATCAATTAGGTTGATTGCTGTATACTAATCTTGGCAATCTGGCTGATTTTAAGGTATTTTTAAGGTTATTTGACTATGGCAAATCCATGAGGGCTATCTGTGTAAGAGGACAGATGCTTTCATGGAAGACTTTCTGATGGAAACTGACTCATAGTCATGTTACAAATGGGGAAAACCAACCATGCAGCTAGGCCATTCATCTGGGATTGAAATATTAGTATTCAGTGATCTTAACCACTTCCACTAGTTAGATGGCTGATTAAAAAAAAATTATTGATAAATTCACTGTTGCTATTAAGTAGCTGCCAACACTCTTGGTTTTTCATCACAACTCTTGAAAGAAAGGAAAATGTTTTCTGGACAAAAAAAAAAAAAAAAAATATTGAATTAATGGAACCTAAACTGTGTGCATTCCATTCTGTCACCGCTACTGATTTTCAGCATAATTTTTCTAATTATGTTTCATTTGGAATCTACTGCAGATATATGTAAGATTTTTTATGATGACTTAACCAATGTTCAGTTTTGTTTTACATCAGTATATGTTATGCTACTAAGTTCACCCACACAGGAGTATGCTCATTAATTGTTACCCAAACAGGCTGTTGCTAATTAAATACAATTTTGCACTGTTTCACATTTTATTGGAGTCTGTTGCCATTCAGGAAAACTTAGGATATTATTCTTTCATATTTAATCTATCTGCTATTAATTAGCAAACTAAACTACCGTAATTTCGCACGTATAGTCCGCAGACACGATTTTATATAAAAAAAAAATTCAAAAATCGTCAGATAGTCTGCACCACCGGATAGTCCGCGGACTATACGTCCGAAATTACGTTTTTTTAATACGGCAATATTCCCATGCTTTTTAAACACATCCTTTTGTTTACGCCAATTTCTCACTGCTTTCTCGTCCACTTCAAAATAACGGGGTAAAATCCTAGTATACGATGCAGCCTTGGCGCGACTTTGAAAATTATCGCCAACAAACCAAAATGATCCAAAGAAGCTCTCTATATATAGTATACACACATAGTAATGTATATACACACTTAATATATATACTATATACTATGTTTTAACTATATATTTTTCTTTAATGACCCGTTAACTACTCATCGTATATGTCCCGTTTTCACTGCTCATCATAAGTCGCCAAAAGTAGCCAAATCCCGTGTGCACCGAATACTAGGATTAAACCAATACGGCCCCGCTTCTATTTCCACCTTTGTCAACTACCTTGAGTTAGCAGTAATCTCAGCAGTAAATCTCCGGCAATGTTTCATCAACGTTTATTATTGAAGATGAATAGAAAACAAAATACTGTGCAACGTGCTATCCTCGTGATAAGTGGTAACGAAATGTGACCTTCGACCCCACTCACTCGGAGTTGCCCAAACCACGCTATAAGTAAACCAATCACGCTTTTTTTTTTCGTACTCCAGGTACTTGCTACCAAGGAGGTTAGAACAAGGAGGTTGCTTGCTACTATAGCCCCGTTCACATGCAACGCTCCTTCGCACAGCTGCCGTTAGCAAGGGGAGAAAAAGGAGACATGAAAGAGTTTCGTCTTTAGGACCCGTTCAGAAGACCACCGTCTTCCTTCCCCTTTACACCTAAAGCCTCTATGAACAATCACGTCTCCGAATTGGCAGATTTCACTACTGTTCACACATTTACATTTACGATACTGTTCACACATTTTTAACGTGGTTTACTGTTGTTAATTTTGTAATTTGTACTTTCGTAATGGTTCCTGAAAAATATATGCTTTTTAATTATTATTATTATTTTATAAGCTGTTATTTAGTTCACTCTTGGTGCTTGTCGCTATGGTTAAAAGATGGTAATGAATTTTTAAACTGCTTCCCGATATGATATAGAACTCAAACTTTGTACATACACTGCTTGTGGATGTGGTGTCACGCTTTTGATTTTTAGAGGATTAGATTTTTTTTCAAATTTAAAGTTGAAACGATTTTTTGCAATTATTAACAAATAATAAACTGAGAATCTCAGAATATTATAGTTTGCACCATAACACACTGTGAAAGAAAAAAAAATTAAATGAAATTTTTTTAGCGTAATTTTTTTAAAAATATTTTGGTAGAATTTTTGAAAATCGTTCAGATTTTTAGAACTTTTGACGCCCATTAATTTTAAAATTTCCTATTTAAAATATATCGGTTACAAACTTCCGACATTTTCACAGTTTATAAAACAAACTTTTTGCATTAAAAAAATTATAAAGGAAATTAAATGGATGATTTTGTACTTTTTTGAAAGATATGCAATGAAGCAGAATGGAAAATATTGGTTCTTCTTGGGCATCAATTCGAAACATCGGTTTTCAAAGTAATAATCTCATTATACCACACTATTTTTATGACATTATTTACGCTATATAAGTTGTTATTGGTTACCAGTTGTTAGTTCAGCGTGAGATTGGAGATATTTCTGAATTAACTTTCTCTTAAGATGCGTTGTTGTTTAACGTCTTTAGATCTTTAGATTGAAGCATAACTACTGATTATACTTAGTGATATACTAAACACTTGTACGAGTATTTCTGTGGAAAATTCCAGAACTTTGAAGTGTTTATGTTGATAAAATAAAATTAATTAAGCTATCATCGGATTTGATGCAATGACAACTATTAAAAATTATTATCAATCTATTACAAACCCCGTATGCACGCAGCAATATTATAAGTAATTAAATGTATTAAAATTGTTTTGAACGTGTTTTAAAAACGAAACAAAAACAGGTAAAGAAAAATTCTGCTTGCGTTTTATGAGTTTTTGCAATTTTTCTGGCCACATAAGGTTTTAAAAAAAGGATTGTAATTTATGTTTATATTTACCAATTGAATAAATAGCACTAGGTTTGATTTATATACATATGTGTATATTGAAATTCAGTAATAAAATTTTAAAAAGATTTGAAATGATTTAAATGTCTATTTAGACCAGTTTGAATTCTTTAAACTGCAAATGCAAACTGAGAAACTTTTGCACATTTTCCAATAAATCCTTTTACTCCTAAAACATATACAGGTATGGATTAAATTTTTTATTATTTTTACTGCTTATATAAAATTATATACTTTATAGAAACAAGGATGGATTTTGCAAAATACTTTCGGAAAAAAATTATTTGAAATGAAAATGTGACAGAGATCATATTTGTTTTAAAAAGATTTTAGATAAAAGTGTATTTTCCCCCCCCTCAGAAACTAATTCATTAATTGCAAAATCATTCCTTGAAGTTATTAAGAACACTCTAATAAATACAATAAAAAACTGGGGGGGGGAGACATTGAAAATTGTAGGAGAAGAAAGACATTTTAATCGTAAAATTTTTCTTCAAAAATTTAAATTAAAAAAATGCTAGCAAAAACTTTTTTTTCAGCTCAAAATTATTTTGTCTCACAAAACCATTTAATATATTCATAATTATTAAATGGATGATTCATAATTATTAAGTAGATGAAAATGCTTAAATTTAAAAAAAAATCATTCAAAAGGTACCGAGTCCCCTTTTTGCGTTGAAGCCGATATGCACTTGTTTTAACTTTAGTTTTAATTTGAACAATATTTTTGGATTACCTAGCATCAGATAAACCTTGTCTGTATTTGCCTATAATTTCCGTATCTTGTACAGTTCTGTCTAATTTTTTTTGGGGGGGGGATGCTATCACATCCCCAGACATCTATCAGCGCGATTGTTTCGCTGACAGTCCAGCGAGCAGTAACTAAAATTAAGTGAACCGCGCAGTATAGTACGGGAAATCTCCCCCATTTGCCCTGCTCCCGAGAGGTAAGAAACATTCAACCAAGTTCTACCTCCAATTCGGCGAGGCAGTTAATGCTTGTCCCATGTGAACGGGACACGTTGGAAGAACCGGTTTTCGCTACCGGTCGAATCTGCTCTTGTGAACGGGGCTTAAGGCTCCTAAAAACCGAGTTGACGCATCAATTACTTTTTCCCCTCTCGGCAGTTCATGGAGGGAGGAGGGGCCATTCCGCGCTAGAAGTGAAGCACTACTTTGAAGCTTGGGTCACCAGACGGGGTGTTTTTTGTTTACATTCAGAAGCTCGCTTGACAAAATTCTGATAGTATTTCGACACACGACAGTTCCATAGAAATCGAAAAAGGGACACTCTCGCATGAAAGAAACATTCATAGTGTGATGGATAATAGCAATTTGTATAGTTTACTGACATTTACGCAAAAATCACATCTTGGTTATTTTTCGATAACTAACAACAGCGATTTTGATTATGAATTTGTTTTATAAAATTCTAAGCTGTTGCACTACAAAAATATAGATTTTTAAAAATTGCTAAAAGAGATCAGCCAAAATTTATTTTTCTAGAAGATTTGAAAAGTTTGAAACTTGATGGCTAAATGTAAATATAAAATTATGTATGTTAAAATATTTGTAATCAGGCACATAGGTCAGATTAAGTTTTTATTAAAATAGAGTAACGCATGCAAGGGCTATCTGCCTAAAGAGAGAGATGCCATCGTGGGGGAATTTTTTGAAGAAAAACTGACCTTTGAGTGGGTATTAAAAATAATACTTATAATTTTCATTCAAATTATATTCATATATATTTTTATGTAAAACTTTCGGGTGTATGCTAAATTAGTGTAAATTACTTTACACGAAAAATATAGTGAATGCACAGAAATTAAAGATTTGCACATGCCAAATGATAAATAGGAAATATGTATGGGTATTTATGCATGTGCTTGCAAAAAAAGCATGTATCTGCCTTTGACAAAATACTTAAATATTCATTAAATTATTTATAAATGTATTTGAAATGAAGAATTTATTCACTTATAAACAACTGTGATAGTACTGTGAAGAAATCTAATGATTAAATGTATCTAATTTATAATGATTATAAATGTTATCTAAATATATAATAACCTTAATATTGAATTGTAAACATAAATTGAAATCCTGTTGACAAATACGTTATAAACTATTTAAGCAAGAATTGTTCGTATTGGAAAGCAATCTGTTAAAAGATATTGTAAAGCAAATGCTATGAGAGATGCGCACTTAAGAACGTAATAAAGAGTTTTGGAATATGTATTGTTGAAATGAAGGGTAAAAAAAAAATCTGATAAGTATAAATTAAAAGAATTATTCCCGTTACATTTTATAAATAACTCAGTTACAAGTTTTAAATAATACTTAACAAAAAAAAAAAAAAAAAAAAAAAAAACTTATTTTATTACTATTTTTCTAATAATTCTCTAATTTAAAATGAACCGAATAGAGCATTAATTATAAATTGACTTACATTTTTCGATTTAAAAGAAGCCAAAAAAAAAAATCATGTCATAGTTAAGAAAGTATTTTAGGAAGAAGCTCTATAAATAGAAAAGAAATAATGCATAATTTTAATATTAATAATACAATAAGCTTTGATCTTAAATTTTGTACCTTAACCGAATAAAATCGAATTACCTTAATTTTTTTTTTTCTAATGTAATTAACGAAAACTTGTGAAAATGTTTCATTCAAATTAAAAAACCATTCTGAGAAAACTGTCCTGTGAAAAGTATAGCATTTAATTCCGTTCAGAATGAAATGTTGTTTAAAAATATGTTGTTTTTCACATACTTAGGACTCTGAAGTGTTGTAGAAAAAGAAAAATATATACATTTATATGTATATTTGCGACGTAATTACAAAATATTTACACCCGAACGCGTCAAATCCCATAGAACTCAATGGTAAATGACCCAATGTTTTGGTCACTACGTAGGGATCGCCGGTGCTTCAGAGCAGGGTACGGAGAAACTTGTTTAGGGCGACTCCTTCTTACTTCCTACCTCCATGCGGCAGTTGCGCTAAAGCAGTGCGAAGGATACTGGGATACAACACTCTGGTTGCGCTAAGTGAGTGCTCATACAAGACTTTCTTTGGCTCATATCTCGGCATCGCTTGATGCGCCAGCCTGGATTTTAGGAGCTCTACTTGCTACTACTCATTCGTTCTGCACTATGCTCTATTGGTTTACTATCGATACGATACATACGAATGTTTCTTGGAATCCTCGCTTTTTTTTATTTGATCATCGGCAGTTCACGACAGCGTGTTTTTTAAATTTCAACGATTTTAACCGTGAACAACAAGCGTATTATCCGCACTGGTGGATAGTCCGCAGCTTCAAAAATTCGCATTTTAAACACAGATAGTCCGCGGACTATACGCGCGAAATTACGGTATTTAAAAGTAATAGGTACAGTTCTTAAGAATATTATCTTTTTACTTTTGCATTTGATTGATTGAAGTAAAAATGCATTTAATTCATAATATATCTAACTAAAAGCATTTAATATTTTTATAGAATTACTTTACTTATTTTTTTACTTATGAAATATGCAGAAAATATATATGACATTCCTGTGTAAATTTAAATGCATATTCATCTAATACAGTACAAAATCCATAATCCTGACTCGTTGGGACTTCGGCGATTCCAGATTAGGGTTTTTTCCAGATTATAAATCACCAATTTAAATCTGGTAAGATGGCATGCAGAAATTATACAATTAAAAATATAAAACCGTAATTTATGAAATAAAGAGCAATTATGATTTAAAGGGTATCAAAATTTTCAAAAGAAAAAGCTTAATATTTATTTGTTTACTTATTTAAAAGTGCTTTGATAAACAAAAACCTTCCTTCCTTGTTTAAAGTTTTCTCAGTATGAAATTGTAAGAAAATTGCAAAATGAAATTAACTAAGCAATGTAAAATGGAGAATATAAGAAATTAATAAAATTTAAAAAGAGGGAAAAAAGAAACAACAATTGAGGAAAAAAGTTTAGAAAATTAATAAAAATAATTTTTTATATTTTTTTTCAGAAAGGTTAAGGGCATTAATTCATAAATTCCACCACATTTGACAATAAACTCCAATTTCAGATAATCCACATCATGTACAGTCTGGGTAAATACTTTTTCTGATAAAGAAATAAACTGTTTACATGAATTGTAAAATTATTATAGACAGAACAGTATTGTCATTTGTTTCTTCCTTAAGCTAGCAAATGAAATTTTTCTTATCTGTTTCAAGTATTTCTTAGTAATTTTTTTTTAAAAAGTTTTTTTTTTTTTTTTTTTTTTTTTTTTTTTTTTTTAATGTTCCTTTCATTATACTTAGGTTACTGAATTAGATGTACCTTTATCATATGCTACATATCAGTTAAAGCAGTCATATCCTGAGTTTCCAATGTGTGGAAAAATAAAATCATTTTTTGATGATGACAATTACTTGATTGGGCAGAATGTTCTCAAGTGGTTTGAGTCACTTCTAGATGGATTTATAACTTACACAGACTTAGAACTTTATGGAGTTTTGCAGGTAAGTAATTTGTAAAAGTTGTTTTTCATTTTGTGCTTCAAAAGATATAGTTAAGTTTTTATCTGTATATATGTAATATACATCAGTTTATGGTAGTTACCAAATGGTAAGTAATTTGTAAAAGTTGTTTTTCATTTTGTGCTTCAACAGATATAGTTAAGTTTTTATATATGTAATATACATCAGTTTATGGTAGTTACCAAATGGCATGTTTTCAGTAAATTGTAGTGTTTGTTGTATTTGTGAGAAAGCATGGGTAATCCTGAAAGTTTCTGCAGTTTTCTTCTAATTATTTTGTTACTCTTGATAGGGAGTGATCCTGATCAAAGTGGATGTTTAAATATTGTGTTCACAGTTCATAATTCTAGAATTCTAGTGTTGTGATATTATTTTTGTTTTATTGTAAGGCTAAGAATTGAGAACCTAAAAGTTCTTTTTCGTCATATTATTTAAAAACAAGGAGAAAAGTGCTAGTCAAACTGTGTGTAAAGTTTATGGTATATATGGACAATGTGCTGCTTCTGATGGCATAGCTGGAAGGTAGTTTGAAAAGTTTAAGCAGAGAAATATCAGCTTTCAAAATGGTGTCTGCTCTGAATTATCATGCTCTAACAAGGGCTTATTAAATGGAGCTGTCCCTGCAAAATCCATATCAGCAACTCAATTCTGAAAATCCAGTATACAATTCAGAAACTATCAGACAAACTAAATATTCCAAAAAATATAGTACATGATCATTTGAAGAAGATTGAGTGTGTAAGTTACAATGTGTGAGTACCCATTCTTTAACAGCACACAATATGCTTGCTTGAGTTTTGGCATATAATTCTTTGCTGAAAAAATTTTAAAAAACTCCTTTTCTGGAATGGCTTATTAGTGGAGATGCTAAGTGGTTACTATATAATAATGTCCCAAGAAATTTATTATAGATAAGCCAAAGGAACCTCCTGTTGTAACATTGAGAGGGGGCTGCATGTTTAACGAGTAATGCTTTATATATAACGGAATTAAGATAAAATTGCATTCTATGAATTGTTGACATCAAATCAGAAAATAAATTTGGAAAAATGCTGTTCCCAAATGGCAGCTTTTAAAAGCAGAAATTGAAGCAGATTGCCCAGAACTGACCAATCTTTGATGTATTATATTTCATCATGACAATGCTCTATGCCAGCAGTTCTCAACCTTTTGACTAACGTATACTATCTAAACAAAAATTGAAAATCTTTAGTAACACCACTAAGTACTACTAAAACCGCCATTCTTGAACAAAGCTCAGTTCGCATAAATTTACAAGTGTTAGAGAAAAAACTCAATCAGGATGTTGGGGTTTTAACTTTTGAATTTAATAATTAAAAATACTTTGCTTCTTTGCATACCACTGGTTGAGAACCCCTGCTCTATGCCGCATTCCAGAAATGTCAGACAAAAATAGGTATTTTTTGGTTTCATCAACGCAAATCTCACCAAGCAGACTTTATTGGTAACAACATACAGTATACACATAAAATATGTTAACAAATGTTAGTTCTAAGAATGTTTTATTTTTAAGGTATAAACATTTTAATATCATTTAAAATTTTGTAAAAAGGCCAATAAATAAAGTCAATAAATTTGTAAAAAGACATTAATTTAAGAATTTACTACGCTTTTATGGTTCAAAATACTGATTCGCCGGTTCATATCACGTGACCACAAGTGATCTCTGTAAACTACATTACAAAAATCTAATTCTCTCAGTAATTATCTACATTAATTTCAAGTTAAATCTTAATTTGAAATAAAAGTTTAAATGCAAGAGTTATTTCAATTTGTATGAGTAGCTTACTCAGAAATTATGTAAGACAACAGTGCTTTATTTCACTAGTGCATTGTCATGCGAATTGATGAGTTTAACCCTTGACTTTGCCTTTTCTATATTTCCACATTTGGGTAAGTGGTGTGATTGCATCCTGATTGACTTAATTACTGCGAATGTCCTTAGGGCATAAAATTGAACTGTCTGATAAAAATTCTGTGTAATTGTATGCCAGTATTGAAAGAAACAATCAACCTGATAACAAATTTGCTGCGACTTGTTTTGAAAATGTGGCTTAAAAGGTTACCAGCGAAGACATTCCGTTTGGCATCAGTTGAACCAGTATTGGCAACTTTATCGCCTGCCCCGGCAAAACGGAAAAGTACCGATAAATATACTGAGTATGGTTGAGATGTTTTATTTCACCACCTCTTCCAAGACTTACTAGATCCTATCTTCTGATGTTTTCGTCTATTCAGGTCACTTCATAAGTCTCTGAATGGTCTGAGTTGACTTCTTTTCACTTCGATCACTTTATTTATAAACTTAAGGAAATTTTTAGAAAGGGATTTTCCAGCTGTCTCAGTGATGGCAAAATGTCATAAAATGAAATGGTGCTAATATAGTTCATTTAAAGTAGCTTATGTTTTTGTACTGTTTCATCTGTGTTTATTATAAAAAAAAAAAAACACAGAACCTTTTGGATGATCCACTACATATAATTATCAAATAGTATTTTGTTAAAGCAGCCACAATGCTTAGTTGTCAAAACAAATAAATCATTTGATCTATAATGTGCAAATGTGAAATGTCAAAGGATTATGTGGTAACCACTTTAATAAGGAAATATCAATTTTCATCATCATTCTGGTGTTTATTTTTTAAAGATCAGGGCCTATTTAAGGAAACATTATGGATTTTAAACTGTGCATGAAATTGATTTGCGAGTTTAAAAAATATTGGATTATATAGCATCTAATTTTAAGTTAGTTGTTTTGTATTATGCTTCATATTATATGACTCTAAAGTTTACGTGTTCCAGTTATTATTCTGCTGTTAACTAAGATTCCAGAGAAATCACTAGTGACAAATAGACTAGAATCACTTGGTGATTACAAAATTCCTTATTGATGACTACTTGCTCTTTATCTTTTAAATCTTTATAAAAACATATTAAAAACTATACTTTTTAATGTATAAGGGTGTGCAAAAAAGTTGCATCACAAGCTATGATGCAACTTTTTTACTTTTATTTTTTCAACTGTATATATTTACTACATGAAAAGGTTTTAACTTTTGAAAGGTTTTTCTATATTAAGAAATTTAGAAGGTTTTTCTACACATGCTGGATTAATTAAATCCACCATGTGTAGAAAAACCTTCTAAATTTAAATAAAATATGAATTTGTTGCTACATCAATGTGTTTATGTTCTTTTTCAACAGCTTCTAATGCATATTATTCCATAAGGTTTAAATCTGAATCTTTATCTATAAGGTTTAAATCTGAATTATTTTTAGAAACAAATTTTGCCTGCAACCATATTTTTATCTAATAAGATATAAATGGGCATACCAATCTAAAGCAGTTTTGCATGTTTATGGATGTGTGCTTATCATGTGGCTTTTACTAAATTTGGCTCGTTTCACAAAATAGAATCATCTATTTAGAAAAATGCAATGCAATATCCAAATTGCTCTAAATAGTTGTAGGCAACAATTTACAATGCAGAATGTCTTAAATCTGAGCATTGACAGCCAAACTGATAAATTAAATTTGTCAATGTATTATAAGCTCCCACTGAATGCTTCACTTTAAAGCAAATCATGGCTAAATTTATTACTACACTTTTATCGCACCATCTAGACCAGGGGTTTTCAACCCAGGGATATTATCCATTGGCAGAAATTTCGTAGTTTTTTTTTTGGGGGGGAGCAGGAATGCAGTCAGCTGTTTATTTAGTGGTTAAGTATTTAATTTTAGCTTATGAATAAAAGAAAACTACTTTTACTTAGTTTTATTGATATTTTCCATACTTCTTGCTCCTTAATTTATAATACACATGAAAAAATAATGTATATTGTATGTGTGTATTTTTTAGTATGTTATGCATTATACATATTTTTTAATTTTCGGAAAAGAGGAGGATGATCTTCTAGCAGTGGTGGAAGGGGTGCATGGAGCAAAACAGCTGACATATTAGCATCTTATGATGATTTATGATATTTCTTTTCTAAGCCTCCCGCAGTGATTTAAAATATTTATTTTGTAGTATAGTTAAATGATTCTCAATAATTTGAATTTAGTTTTTTTTTAATAGAAAATCTTTAATTCTGTTTTTTAATGAGGAATTTTTTTACAGTAAATGATACATTGATTTAATTATTTAAATAGGTAAAAACAACACAGAGTGGTCCAGCTCGAACGTTAAAAGTATTTTGGAAGGACTATGTCTGGATAAGCATTGATTTAGTTCCTGTTATATTGTTAGATACAAAACATCTACATAAATATACTGCATGTGAAGGACTTAATTCCTTAGATGTATGTATTAAAATATTTTGCATTTTAACTAATTTATCTTTATGCAAATAAATATTTTGTATTTAGCTTGGAATCCAGCTGCATATTTTAATAGCATTAATGGCATTTATGTTTAATCTTCTAGTTATATGTGTCTCATTTTTATTTTAATGCTTTTTGCTTTGTTTGTTTTAAAAAACATTAAGTATTAGAAGGACCTTACCAGTTTAAATTTTAATATTAGTTAAATTAAAATTATTACTTAAATATTAATAAATTTAAATTATTTGTTAAATTTGTCATTCATTTTTAATGCTAAAAATTTTCTTTCGATTAAAAATTACATGGATTTTTTAAAAATTTGATGTGAATATTTAGAGCAAAGAATGAAACAGTTTTTAGCTTCATTGTGTGATAAGATATATAATAAAAATGCAAATTTTTAGAAATTCTGAAAATTAAAATATTTATGTTTGGTACAAATAGTTTTATCTAATTAAATGACTATCTAATTAATATATTTTATCTAATTAAATGAGTACAAGCTGAATTTTCATATGACAAGTGTTTCATATGACTCTTAACACAAATCTCGATTTAGCTACATTTGATCATTATTGTTGATCACTGAGTATATATTTCCTGAAACACTGCACTAGATCAAACTTCTCAGTGCACTATATTTCCAATTACAGTAGATAAGATCTTATGTTGCAGTTTCAACAGATACGACCAACAGATATGATATGAGCAGGTAAATAATTCAAGAGGTCCAGGTTAGATCCCCGGAAAGAGCATTGCTCATTTTTCGTGTCTTCTGCTTCAAATTAAAAAAAAATTACTGAAATTAAAAAAAATTACAGGCTTCTCAGAATACTCTTTCTTCAGTGCAGTGCACAAAATTATGAGTACTACAGATATTATTCATACTGTGAGTAGATCAGGGATTCCCTACCGTTTTCTTGCACAGATCCCTTTCAAAAGAACAGATTTCTTGATTGATCTCCTTACATTCTTCTCTGTAATATTGAGCATGTAACATTATTGTAATGGCAAGGAGAGAGGGGGAGCAGCAGTTAGCTTGTAGTATTCTTGTCAAATTTTAAAGATGCATTTATATATTGGTGATGCATTGAACATAACTTCTGTTAACAAGTTTCAGCTGCTAAAATGGTGGAAGAATAGCCACATATTTTGCTGTGGTTGATTAGTTTTCTTTTCTTCATATTTTTTAATGATGTTTTCTTGTATTCATGAGTTTTACTTTTGTGTACGGCACTTACAGTTTAAAAAAATTTTATGTTTAAAATTTTTTTATTGTTTTTTAAAATATATTGAGTAGCTTTTGCATATTTTCCACTTACTATATTTATTTTCTAGGATTTCTTCCTTGCTACATGATATAGCTTTGTATAAATAAGCAATTAATTATCAATTTAATACAGTCAAAAGTCGTTAATTCGGACACCCATAATCCGGAATGATCTATAATCCGGACCTCAAAACTAAAAACTTTTTGCGCATGCGGCGCGTTGACACATGTGCATAGGCGTTTACACGTGCGCAAAAGACCTTTACGACCACGCATATGCGTGTGCGCAAGTGCAGAATAAGTTTTCGCGTACGCGTTTTATGTATAACGGATGGTATAAGCTAAAATTATCTAATTATCTATTTCAGTTAATGTTGATGATTGTGTTGTTCCTTAATCTTCGAATTGGATCCGGCTTATTATTTTTTGCAGACTGTAAGAGCAATTTTATAAAAGTAAACTTGAACTTTCGATTATGTCAATAGAATTTCCGATGCTGGAGCTCCCAAAAGATCTACAAACGAAAGTATGTTTCGATGTCCATCAAACAAAAAGTGAATTGCTGCAAAAAATGGATAAGACATGAAGAAGGTGACAGAGTTAGTGTTACGAAAAAATTTCGATTGACAGTTAGTCGGTATTCTCGGCACAGCAATTACGGGACTTGAACAGCGGAACTTTGTAACTGAACAAGAAATTATGGCTGTTTATAGAATTAAAGAGAAAGTATTATCAATAAAACGAAGCAACTTAAACAACTTACATTGAAAGAAAATTGGTGCTACTTTGGTAGATGGTTGCACGGATTTTGGCGATTTACGTTGGCGCGATTTTACAACGCAGCCATCTTGAAAAACCTGTTTTTTACGCATAGTAAAGTATTCGAACTTTAAAAAAATAAATATCGTGTTAAATAATGGATAATTTTTTGTTGAAAATGTCGTTTTTTAAAATGGCAATCAATGTAATAAATACATTTACTATGAGTATAAATACTAAAGTAAGGTTATTATTTTTCTTTCATATAGCAAAGAAGAGAATAAAAAACACCGCGAAAAAACTTGGGCCAACGTTTAATTAGATTAAAATATTACTGAAATTGAATATCGAATTAAAACCATCATACCAACATTTAAAGAATTAGAATATTATTAAATTCAAATACTTTAAAATACGTTATATAGAATATAGTAACATGAAAATAGGGACAATAATTATCTCAGAATTTCTGAAAATAGTGTATTATTTTTTTTAACAAAATTGAAGTATACAATTATAAAATAAAAGAAAAATATGTACTTACTTTTTTTGAGTATTTTAACCTGTTGTTTATTGATAAGTACTACAAAAAATCAGAATCATAATTTAGGTAACATTTTTTGAATACACCCTTGAAGGAATTTTGAAGATATGAATTAAATTTTAAAAACGGCGCGGAATGCACAAATTGTCAGTAACCAATCAGGGAGCTGATTACAGCTCGTTAATGCACAAATATTCTATAACCAATCAGAGAGCTTATACATCACGGCTAGAATTAAATTATTTAAAAATTCATACATAATAAAATCATTTTTAAAAAAATGCAAAATTAATTCATTTTAATATTTAACACCATAAATAATGTTAAAACATTAGATAAATTTATATATATTAAACGAATTACTTTTAAAGTAAGGTGACGTCATTGGATTACATTATCCACAAAAATTTCATAAATATGAGAAACAATAAATTTTTATTTCAAATAAAATGCAAATTAAATTGATCTTAATATTTAAAAGCCATAATAATTTTTAAACACGGAATTTATGCACAATAAAACGTATTTTTTAAAAATAAAATGACAACAAAGTACGGTGACCATAATAACTTATCCAGCATGGGTTTACCATAAGTTGTATTCCTCGCCAAAGGAAAATCACCCAAAATCCGTGCAACCGTCTACCAATGTACCATCGAAATGTTTAATAAAGTAAACAAATAAATATTAAGCTTTTTTTTTTGTAAATTTTGATACTCTTTAGATCATAATTGTTCTTTATTTCATAAATTACGGTTTCATATTTTTAATTTTAGAATTTCTGCATGCCATCTTACGAGATTTAAACTGATGATCTACAATCCGGAACAATCGGTAATCCGGAATCAAAGTCCCGATGAGTCCGGATTAACGACTTTTGACTGTAATAACTTTTTGTAATTGGTGAAATTTTGATTATGCTGGTTCAAATTCTCCTCCTGATTATTATCGATCCCTTTTTAAAATTTTATTCCTGGACTACATCTTCGACTTGTGTAGGATGTTCTAGGATCAGCATTTGGACCACCATATTTTTGGCATTTAAAAAAATAGCCTCATTTGACATATTGTACTGTGTAGAATCATTAAGTTTTTTTAATTTAAGCAGAAGACACGAAAAATGAGCAATGCTCTTTCCGGGCATCTAACCTGGACCTCTTGAATACGTGCAGTGTGTGCTACCGTTATGCCACGAAGGCATGCTGGAAGGAGGGAGAAAATACCTTCTATACTCCTCCTTTTAAAGGACAACTGAAAAATCTTGGTAGTGTCGAATTATCGTCCAGCTCTTTTTAATTCAGGTGTCACTGTAGAGTCATTAGTTTTTTTATTTATTTATTTTTTTTATTTGATTTGAAGCATGAGACATGAAAAATGAGCAATGTCCTCACTGGAACTCAAACCTGGACCTCTTGAATGTGCACCAAGTAAGTTACTGTCACATCACAATAATACTGGAAGGAGGGAGAAAATGTTTTGTACCTGCATTGTTTGAGGACATTTCTAATGTAGAGAGGAGGTGAAAACATTAGAATTTGAATGATTTGGTGGATGCTTCCTCACTTTTGGAAATGCAAACAAGTTTAAAGCAATCAGCATTAATTGTAACATATTGTCATTCATTCCTGGAACAAATAAATATTTTGTCAATATGCAAGATCACAGCAAATGGACCGTCGTAAAATAGTTGTAAGAAGCGTTTTTTGGTCATTTTAATTTGACCTCAGTTTTACAAATGTTGAGTATATCAGTTAGTTTTCTTCAATGCATCATTAGGCTTTGTCTACCTGGTTTGTTGGGACCACCAGTGGCCAAACGTTAATGTCATTGAATGCTCATAGTTCGGTTCAAGAAATGGGCTGGCTGCATGGTTTTCCTCATGTTTAAGCAAATCAGTTCCCATTAGAAAGTCCTCCACGAAGGCATCCCTCCCCTTAGGCAGATAGCCATCGAGTACTCTTCCATAATTGCATAAATCAAACCAAATACATAATTAATTAGCATTGGTGTCAAAATGAAATAGATTTTTCAAAATAACAGTTGTAGCGATTTTTCTAGCATGGGAACTGGAACTGTCAAGAATGGGGGGGGGCGAACTTTCTCTCAAAAATTTTAGTTATAGCACTTTCTGATAATGCAAAGAGTGCTATTAAAGAAATTGTACATGAGTGGTATTTCCTGAACTCACTCTGTGAAACCTTACCATATTTACATAAAACTTTACTGTAGGAGTGTTTTTCACTTTCAGAACATAAAAACTACTTTTAAAAATTATTTTACTTGCAGTTTTGCAGTTTTTATATGTAAAATATTTGAATATGTTTTTATGAAAAAGGTGTTCCCAGTCTTTAAAAGAAGAGGGAAAAAAATGACTTCACTTTGTTTTTCCTCTATAATGATATTATTTTCCTTTTATATTATGGTATTTTAAAAACATAGAAGTGTTGCATTGAATAATTTTTGTTGTGTAAATATGTTTAAATTCATTATTTAAATGTAGGTATCCTAAGTTAATATAAAAATTAGGAAATGGAAAATGTGAACAAAACAAGAAAAACACAACCTGTACTCCAATCTGCCAAATTTTCTGATCTGCGTGATCAGTTGTTCCAAGGTGTACAGATTCTCAAACTTATACTAATATATACCATTTATGAAAATTTCTGAAAGCTTTCTTGAATTGAATTGAAGTGTTTTGTAACTTTCTTCTTAAAATCATTCTTGTCATTAATTATATATTAATACTATGATTGATTTCAGAGTTTATCTACATGCTATTTGGTGCCCAAACCTTTGAAATCTGAGCTAAGTTGTCTGATCTCTTCTGACCTAGTGTCACGTGTTTGGCGAATTCATTTTCCTGAAACTGAGAAGCAATTTCTTAGGGGGAAAAATTACATGAAATCTACTATACAGCTTATCAAGGTTTGTATTAAAAGCAATAAGAGAGTTCTTTTCATTTGTTAATATGTCATAGCTCTCTAGTATTGTTGCTATGATTAATACTATGATTGATTTCAGATGGATAAAAAAAAAAAAAAAAAAAAAAGAGAGAGAGAGAGAGAGAGAGAGAAGGAAAGAATTAAGTGCATGGCATGGGGGTTTTTTCATCTTTTAATAAAAACTTAAATTATTATAAAAAAAGATAAAAAATATGTAAATCAAAATTACAATTTAAATTAATGGGTAAACTCTTTAATTCTTCTTTTCTGTTTTAAACATCATAATAACTTCTCTGGATTGCGTTCGATTCTGCATGTAGTTGTTGAAATTTAATATGTAAGATAAAAAATATGTAAATCAAAATGATTACGTATTTTACATATTGATTTACATAATATATATTGTTGTGTTCTACAGACTCATGGATTTGGGGTAATTGATGATAAGACTTAATTAATAATGATGAATAAAAGCATTTTATTCCCCAGTAAACACTATTACACAGCACATTCCCAAAGACACATATACACGCCAAAACGCTACGACAGACATGCTGAAACAATCAGCAGCATAGCCTTCAAGCTATAACAACAAAGATAACTTCACTGTAAAGCACTTAAGTATAGCTCTTGACTTGGTTGATTGCTGTCAAGCTGATCTCTGAACTCAAGACACTACAAGGCAGGGTATATATAGCTTTAATCTGCTTTCAAGAATACTCCCGAGAAAGCTGCCAGAAATGTGTTCTAGAATGTTCTCACTCAATCTATGACATAATGCCAGTTTTGTCGTCAAATGGGCAATTTCATGCCAAATCTGGCAACCCTGTCTTTCCTGTCACTTTCTGGCAACCCTAAGCCTGCCACTGTCTCATGCTGCTCAAACTGCAGATTTTTTTCTCCACTATTTTGGAGGAGCATCATTTTTAGCTCATGCTGTGGGGAAACTATCTGGGCATTTCACAACAATATATGTATAGATATACATAGGGAAGTAAAAAGCCTAAATCCAATTACAGAGCTTAAAAAGTGGAAACTATATAGTTCCATCTAATATTCCAATGTACTGGGAACCACAATTCAAATTCTGAAACAAAGAAGCCTGAATCATCAATTTTTATATAGTCGCGTATCTAGAAGAGGAGGCACTAAGTAATCATATAGATGGACTCGTAATACCATCATTTAGCAATAATATCAAGTATTTCTCACAGTATTTTGTAAATTTTTAATATGAAATAAATTAACTGTGTATGCTAATATATAGTAGAACCTTGATTTTTATTATTTTTCATGGGAAAAGGTGGTTTTTCAAGGACAATTTTTGGTTTTATTTTTTCATTTTAATAGTGTATGTGATTTAATAGAAGTAATCATTTATGTGCAAAGGTAATCTAGCTTGCATCTGAAATATATTATTATTTTTCTTAGGCTCTACGTGACAAAGAAAATTGGCCAATACCATCCTATTTCATAAAAATTATTGGATTATGGCTAATACAGAAGCATCCTTCTGAAGAACAATATAATGATGATAAAATTGGATCTCTTTTCATAGAAGTAAATACTGTTTATTAGCTTTTTCAGATTTCAAACTATTATAAAGTGAATGTATAGGATTGGAATATTTTGTAGTTTGTGAAATTTTATTCTTTAATTTTTAAAAAATCAAGGGAATTAATGGTTTTCTGAAAGTGCAAATTAATGAATTATTGTTATATTCTGTGTTTTCTTTTATGCAGAGTAATTTCATGATTTAGGTTAGATTCATTTATTCCAAAAATATCATAAAAAATTCACAAAATATTCACCTAAGCGCATATTTCCTAAGTAAGATATGTGCTTAGGTGTATCTAGCACCTCAACAAATTCAAAATGTTTTAAAGAGTCACCTGATAAAAAAGTGTATACCTTGCATTATAATGAAAATTGATTGATGATTTGACTGTACATAAAATATTCAGATTTTAAGAGCTTTCTGTGAAAATTTTGAAAATATAATGCTGATTTTTGTTGTTTGACTTCTGAATTAGTATGTATGTAGTGTATAAGGAGATAAACAAATTACTGCAAATTCAGAACAAAAAATCGTTTCATTAAGAAGTTATGGCATGAAAAAGGTTACAAATCAATGAGTAGTATAGCCACCTCTGGCAGCTATACGAGCTGAAACACGGTGTGGCATCGAAGTAGGTCATCCTGTAGGTCACCATGACCTGTGAAAGATCATGCCATAATCTTTGCAATTGCATAGTTAATTCACCAATATTCTGGGATGTTCTAAACGTGCTCTAATGGTGAGAGGTCTGGTGACCTGGGAAGCCATGGGAGCATGCCATAGCCTTGAAGATGTTGTTTGGAGAGTCGCGCAGTATGTGAACGAGCATTGTTGTGCTGATAAATGGCCGTTATGCGACTTGATAGTGTACATTAAAATGCTGACCATGAAACTGCAAGCAATCATAGCACCTTGAAGGATGACTAGAAGTGATCATGTGTCCCAACAAATTACTACCCATACTATCATACCTTGTGTAATCACCATATGCTGCTCGACAACAAATTCCGGAGCAGCCCACTGGCTGGCTGCCTCTATTCGAGTGTGCATTGCTCATCCGCAATGAAGCTGAATCGGTATTCATTGCTGAAGATTACATGCCCTCAGTCAGTCACACTCCAGCTTGCCTGAGTTTGACAAAAATTCAATCGTACTGTCTATAATGTGGGATCAGTGGCAGGCGTCTTAATAAATGTTGGCAGTATCTCTAGCATTTCCAAATGTCCAGTCATCTCCAAGTGGTTTCCCTTGATACCATTGTATGCATGGAGCATGGTAAATGTCATCGAATCCATGCTAGCGACGTTGTTGGTGCGGAAGTGGCTGCTCTTATGATTATGCAATCCTCGTGATCATTTGTGTTCCTGGGATGCCCTGACCTTCTGCAATGGTAGATCATCCCTTCTGTGATCCATTGTTGCCAATATTGAGGTGGCGGCCGATATGCCTGTTGGACCAACCTGCTTTTCCGAGGCCTACCATACTCCCCTTCGTAAGTTCAGTAATTGTTCGTATGGCTGTCGAATACATCTAAGAGGCATCTCTAATCACAATACTGTCCATCCAAGTCGACAGATTCATTTGAATAGATCAATCTGTGACATTAGCGATCATGACCGTACTACACAAGCATCAATTTTTTAAACTCTCCCAACTGTGCATCTGATATGTGCATAGCACAGTTACCCTTGTCTCATTGGTGTCAAAATTTAAATCATTTGCCTATCTCATAGCAGACTATACTCTCACCATGATTTACGATTGTGGATCAATTTCTTCTGGGTGCATATATATATATATATATATATATATTGTGACAGAATGTAGTAGATATATTTATGGCAGTGTTATGCATAATAATTGGTTTACAACACTGTGTTAGTGAACGTTTTCAGAGTCCATTAATGCTTCAAAATATTCTTTCTGAAGTTTCTAGATAGATCAAAGTACTGCAATTTTTAGCTTCCAAATGTAATCAACATTGGCAAATGTAAAGTAAGTGTCTGTATTTAAAAGTATGGAATTTTTTAAACTTAAAAATTTTAATCTATTATTTTGATGGTGCAAGATTTCCAGAAGGAAATAATATCTCAGTGTGTTTGTAATTAGGTATGAGGTTCTGTAATCATATCACACATTAAAAGTTCTGCTAATTTGTGGCATTATTATGGTTTCAGTTAGTGTATTGAATCAAAACTTATAATAGGATTGCCATTGACTTATACAGTCAAAAGTCGTTAATTCAGACACCCATAATCCGGACCTCAAAGCTACAAACTTTCTGCGCATGCGTCAGGTAAGACCTTTACCGCTGCGAATTTGCGTGTGCGCGTACGCAAAATACGTTTACGAATGCGCGTTTAATGTATAACGGACGGGATAAGCTAAGCTAAAATTATCTAATTATCTATCTCAGTTAATGTTGCAGATTGCGTTCTTCTTCCTTAATCTTCGAATTGGATCCGGATTATTATTTTTTGCAGACTGTTAGAGCAATTTTATAAAAGTAAGCTTGAACTTTTGATTATGTCAAATAGAATTTCTGATATATATTTACTAATATGTAAAGGATATACAAAGCGAAAGTATCTTTCAAAGTCCATTAAACAAAAAGTGGAATTGCTGCAAAAAATGGATAAAGGCATATTTTTTGTTTATCTAAACTTTGTTTATCTTTAAGGCTGCTGCGGTGTGCAACGAATTGGAAGTTGATTTATCAGCACTATCCTTATCTTAAGAGCAGATGTTTTTATTTTATTTGGCTTATAATTGCTTACTCAATGTAGTATTTCATCTCGATGTACTCCTTTGATATGATTTAAATCAATGCCTCGTCATTATAATTCGCTTCCGATAGCGAAGAAAGTGAAGGAAAGATGATTGAAAACGAAAAAATTTCGATTGACAAATTAGTCAAATATTCTTCGACACAGCAATTTTAGGACTTGAACAGATCGGAACTTTGTGACTGAACAAGAAATTATGTATCTGTTCTACAGAATTGAAGAGAATGCATTAGCATAATCACATAAAACGAAACAACTTAAACAACTTACATTGAAAGAAATGTTTAATAAAGTAACAAATAAATATTAAGCTTTTTTTTTTTCTGTAAATTTTGATACCCTTTAGATCATAATTGTTCTTTATTTCGTAAATTACGTTTCATATTTTTAATTTTATAATTTCTGCATGCCATCTTACCAGATTTAAACTGATGATCTATAATCTGGAAAAATCGATAATCCGGAATCGCCGAAGTCCCGACGAGTCCGGATTAACGACTTTTGACTGTATAATAAAAGAATATGCTGAAAAAAAGGGGAAAAATTTTTTTTTGTGCTATGTTGTCCTCTTTCCAGAAAAATTCTGTAAAGGCATTTGAAAATTTTATTAGTTAGAAAGTTTCTATATGAAATGAATTGCTCTGTTTACATTTGAAACACACCTTTTTTCCTCTTTCTGACAGTTTCTTGAAGAAATGAAGGAATGTTTTGTGAATGGATATCTTGGCCATATACTTTATCCTGATTTCAATCTTCTTCATTCGATCAACACAGCAACTCTAACTCAGCTCCAAAATCGAATAAAAAACATCATTAAAAAGCTCCAAAGAAAACCAAAATGGGCTTTTCAACTTTACCAAATGGTTGTGCCTTCAGATTTTCCACAAAAATCTCCTCACCTTCTTTGTATATAATTGCTCACCTTTGCAAAGTATTTGTGTTACTTTAAACTATTTATTAATATAAAGTATTTATTATATTAAATTTATTTATTTTTGAATGCCTAACGTAACTTTTCATGTATAGGCTTATCTCATTTTTTTTGTATTTATTGCATGCCTGGTTAGTATTTTTATTAAATATTTTTGTATCAACTTGAGAGATAAAGCTCTCACTAATTACCTGTAAAATCATATTTTGTCATCATCTATAATATCAGATACCTGTAATATCAGATTGTCATCATCTGCTTTTAAGGATGCAGTTGAATTGGGTAAAGAAACAAGGGAGAAGAAGTCTAATTTAGTTCTTATAAAAACTATAATGATCATTTTTCATTGTTAAGGTATTCTGAGAATTCTTATAATGATAATAATTATTATAATCTGACCATCAAAAATTAACTGTACCATTACAGAAGAAGATCCTTTTTCAAAATAACTCCATTTAGAAAACATATAGTGATCTTAATTAATATATATAAAGGTGATAAACACAAACAGAGATTGCAAATGCCATCAAAATTCTATCTTGTAAATTTAGAGGTAGATCAAGTAATGTTTTCCAAATTTGCACACGTTCATGGAAAGCAGGCATTTGCATTTCCTATTCATCCATAATAGAACTGTTAATAGGAGCTTCTTACCAGAAACCTGTTTTGGAAGTTTGTTAATGTATCAAGGAACTGGTGTATTTGCATTCATTCATAGAAACCACCTGATCATATTACACATTAAAATCATTTTACAAAGAGCAACTGGTTAATGCAATTTTTCTGTTTTGTCACAATGTATAAAACAGCCAATTACCTTGCACCCTTTTTGGAATACTGGTTTACCCTTTTTGGAATACTTTTTTTAATGGGAAAACTGGTATTCCTTTACAAACATGGAGACTACCAGAACTGGCTGATACTGATTGTTGATTGGTTGAAAAATGACAATTCTTGCAGAAGAGAATAATTTTAAATCCTTGTATCAATGAAAACAAGTAGAAAACTTGTTTGAAATAGTTGTTCACCCAAAACAGTTGAATGTGTAATAGGGTTTCTAATTCTTAGTGTAATCTTTGCCACTCCTAAATTCTGCCACCCAATTCAACTGCATTGCTTCCATAAGTTCAGCAAGTATTAGCTCTGAGTTATGATTTGTAGGAGTTTTGTTAGTTCATTCTAAAAAGGAAGAAACATGATAAATTCTGAAGTCAGGTAGTTTCGCTACTAATCCCTGTCAAATAGTAGTAGAAGTAATAATACAGTCAAAAGACTTTAATCCGGA